CCCCCCCGCAGTGAAATTTAGTGCTTCATTTGGTTGCCAACCTTTGGCAGTAGATGTGTGTTTGGTCGGTCCAGGCAGGATGGGAGCAAAATCCCACAAAGTTGCCCATCTCTGTTCTAAATAAACTGCCATCTTAATGTTTCTTAAGGGACCCTTCGAAAAGACAGACAAAATACCATATCTCTCTTTGTCCTAGTCTAGTTCTGTTTGGAAATCACACTAAGTTTTTGAGTCTTCTTTCTGGATCAGTACATTTTTGTGCTGCAGGAACACTTTTTCCAACAAAGTCTTTCCCCCTGTGACATTTTCTTTGGTACAAATATTGTTTGACAATTCTTACATTTCAGTGCTAGCCTAGATCCGCTCTTGTAAAATCTACACACATTTGACCACGTGGAACAATCGCAAATTTCTCTGGCATCACATCATGGCAGTGTTATTGAGTGTAGGTTGTTCAAAAAATCAGAAGGCCCTTTTGAGATCACAAGAGGAAACATGCAGTGAGAAAGTGAGACAATGTCTTGACTGGCCTTAAATGATGTGAGTAAGAATGACTAATGATTATAACTAATGACTAGTTATGATTAAGCAGCTATGCTCATTCACTTCCCTCTGACTAGGTGGGTTAATTCAAGCCCAAATGAGTGTTTTGTGTTGGAGAGTTTTTGTATGTGTTGATTAGGGCTGAACGTGAAATATAAAAAAGGAGCTTGTGGTGAGAATGAAGCAGGAGAAGAACAGCTGAGATAACATAATTGGATATTTTATAGAACTGTAAAATTGCAGCTGTAACATCCAAATTATACTACTGACAAAAGAACAAACAAAAATCACTACCTAATTAATAACTGATTTTTTTTTTTACACAAACCTTGTTTCGATGGTTAATTCTCCCTTCCCCTCCTTCCATTCAAACTAGCCATGCAACTGTTTCACATTGATTATTTTTCCTCACATTTCTAGGCCAGCAGAGCAGCATTCAGTGAATGGTTAACAATTTAAAACAAAGATGAATGTAGAAGAGTACTATGCACACAGATGGCATTGTAAAAATTGGTTTGTGGAGCAAGTGACAATATCAAATGTTTGCTGGGAAAGACATATCTAGAATTCTGAGGCAATGTACTAAAGCATTTATGAGGGCTGAGGGCTATTTTTTAGGTTGGTCAAATGTTTGAGGCATACCCTTTTGTTCTTTTTGTTTTTAAAAGGGGGTTTTGTAAAAAATGCATAAATATATGTTTATGTATGTAAAATAGGAGCCATTGTGGTATTGTGGTTTGAGAGGATTCTGGGAAACCAGATTTCAAATACCTACTGTGGCATAGAAACTGACTGGTGGGCTTGGGCAAGTCACACAATCTGAGCCCAAGAAGAAGGCAATGGCAAATCTTCTTTGAATAAATTTTGCTTAAAAAATCCTAGGATATAGTTTCCATAATTCAGACAAATGCAAAATAGACTAAAATTAGGTGAAGTCAATTAAAATAAATTCTTCATTAAATATTACTAAATTGATTAAATTTTATGTCCCTCATACTTGATTACTATTGAATATATACTTATATACAACTGAACCACGTATGTACTTACGTTTTTATTTTTGTTAATATGATATTGGCTACTGATATTGAAAAGTAGGTAAGCATCATATGGCCTTACAGATGTGTTAAACTGAAATCCCAAAATAGTAATAGCAAGTACATTTGTATACTGCTATCAGTGAACTTAAACACTCCCTAAACAGTTTACAATGTGTAAGCTAATTGCCCCCAGCAAGCTGGGTACTCATTTTAGCAACCCTGGAGCCCCTGGCTGGTATCAAACTCACAATCTTGTGACTGTGATTGAGTGGCTGCGGTACTTGCATTTAACCACTATGCCAACACCAATGGGTGTCCTTGCTAGGTCTGGTTGGAGTTGCCGTCCAAGAACATCTTGAGAGCCACAGGACTCTTGCCTCTGAAGCAAAAAGAAACTAAATTGACTTTGCTGTTTACTGTCCCATTGAATGCGGTGCATTCAGCAATGTACCATCAAATGTTGGTAGGGAATCACAATTTCACTTTTTCAAAAAAATCCAGGAGTTCTGTACAAAAGCTTGGGAGCTTCATGTGGCCTAAAGGGCACACTTTTCCCACATCTCACAAATATATTTTAGATTAATTGTGAAACACCCTGTAATAATAGCTAATTACAAATCTTAAATTGAGGATTTCTGGAGTCTTTAGTCTAACCCCCCATGACGCATCAGAGGAAACAGACTGAATTCCACGAAAGCTCATGCTGCCAGTTTCTTTCTTTCAAGTAGTCTCAAAGTGCTACAAGCTCTCTCTACATACTGCTCCCGTTGTGCAGTCTGTCAAGTTACCGTAATCTTTTTTTAAAAATGTTGTTGAGTGTCTTCAAGTTGTTTCTGACTTAAGACTACCCTGAGACAATCCTATCACACAGGTTTCTTGGCAAGATTTGTTCAGAGTGAGAAGCTGAGAGCGTGTGACTTGCCCAAGGTCACCCAGTAGTTTTCCATGGCTGAACAGGGATTTGAACCCTAGTTTTCAGAGTCCTACTCCAACACTCAAACCACTATACCATACTGGCTTTCTTTTAAAAAGTCACTTTTAGAAGCAGATGGTTAATCTGCTTCTAGAGTAACTGCACCATGAGATTAGGAAGGTTTTCTAAGCATCACAGTTTAAATACACCTTCAGAGTCTATCCCCACTTTGCAGAAGGGCAAAGCAGTCTGCTTCATGTGCCATCATGAGGGAGGACTGATGAGGGCAGGAACTTGTGTCTGAATGGTCCAAAGTGCTGGGTTCACTATGGTAGTGCCATTCAGGCTTCATTAGGGCTAGTGAAGTCTGGCACTGTGTACCTTCCTGAAAAGTCCACTGACTGTCATGATTGGTGCCAGGAAAAATGTTCCTCCTCACTTAATTGGGGCTGCAATCTTTAATCAAGTGTGGGCAACCCTATTACTGCTGAGAGCAGCTGTTGCCCAGTGCCACCAGACATTCTTCCATTGCTTACCCATTGCTCTAGGGAGCTGTGCTCTGTTGAACAGGATAAGCCCAAACATTTTGCTGCCTAAATTGGAGCAGCAAAAGGCACCCCAATCTACCTAAATCAAAGTGCTTAAGGCTTTGGATAGTGGAGGCAGAAAATCCCAGAAGCGTCTTCCTCCAAACAGTAAAAATATGATAATTGCCTAAGAAAATGATTAACCATTTTCTTCCCTTTTATGACATCCAGGTTCTGCTACCTGAGGTGGTTGCCTCACTATGGATAATGCCAGAGCCATCCTTTCCAGCTGGCCAGTCACCACCTTTTTACCAGTCGTAAAAAATATATCATGTCTCAAGGATTTTTATGTGAAGTCCCAGAACCTTGCCCTGTCTAGTATTGATGCGTACACATACTATTTCCCCACATCCAAAATATGGGTATATTGGGTAAATCTATATGGGTAAGAGCCAGCATGTCATAGTGGTTGGAGTTTTTTGTAGTTTTGTGAGATATTTAGCCTTTTCTGTCACAGAACTCTGGTGCCACAACAAACTACAAATCCCGGGATTCCATAGCATTGAGCCATGGAGTTAAAGTGATGTCAAATTGCATTATTTCTGCAGTGCAGATTAGATCTAAGAAATCACTGCCCATTCCCCCATTTTTTTAAAAAAAAAGTAATAGAGAGGTACACAGACATTCACGTGACACTTTTAAAGATATAGACCCCAAGGCAGGCATCTCATGTGAATTATATGGGGAGGAATGCAGTAAAATGGCTGAGGCAGTGCTCAGTTGCAGTGTTGGTGAAGGAACGTGGTATGGATGTCCATTTTGGTTGCATCAAAATGCAGAGTATTAGATGTGGTTCCAACTGTGCCTTCACTAATGCTGTGTTGAACAGTATTATCATTGCCTGTACTTTATGTATTAGAAATGGCTTCTTGTAACATTTTCAGTGTAATACCGTGCTGCACAATGCTTATCTTTGTACTGGTTTCTGAGATATCAGAAATGTGACATCCAATAAGTTTGCCTCTTTTGCTTCAGGAAAGGAACTGATTACTCTTGCTGCTGTTGGCAATTTCCTGAATTGATGTTGGTACTGTCCTATATTAACTTAGTGCATGCTGATAATACTTCTTCCTATTAGCTCCATGTTTGGTAACACAGATTGAGTATCCTTTATCTAGAATTCCAAACTTCAGATTACTCCAAAATCCAAAACCTTTTGAGTTACAGCACAAGTAGTGTAGTACATACCTGTGTGCTGTATTTGTAAGGCTGGAGAGAGATGTAAAGATCTGTGAAATGGCAGTAATTTCTCCTGTCATTTCACAGATCATCAGTCTCTCTCCACACTCAGTATGTCTCATTATGTATATGCAAGTAGTGATATTCTATTTTTTTAAAAAAAATATCCAAAATATGGCTTCTGCTCCCAAACATTTAGGATTAGGGTTACTGAATCTCTAGTGCATTTTTAGTGTATTATTTTCTCTCTGTACTTATCTATAATATTTCACATTTGCCTCCTGTTTCATGCAGTTTGCTGCCTCCCCTGTTTAAGAGCCATTTCCACCCTACTCCTAATCCTCAGATATCATTTCAGTGGTTCCTGGTTCAAGCAAGCACATCTTGGGGACACAAGTGTGTTCTTACCTTTAACCAGAGCAGCAGAAAGGTTGAACAGGTCAACATATCTCTAAGGTCTATCTTCATGGTTGTAACTGCCTTATTGGTCCATTAATAACCATTTCTGGAATGTGGTGCTTTTACAAACATGCACCCACTGGATGGATGTTCCTTATTGCTTTTGTTTTTCTATTTTTTACTCCAGCTTGCTCATATTATCCCATAACAGTTTCTATTTGGCCAGCTAGGCACTTGTTATCTGTGTTATCTTTTGGAAGATATTGGTGATGTGAAAGGTTCAACTCCTTTCTTTGTAGAAGCTCCCCAATCTTGCCCGAGGTGACTAGGCAGGAAGTTGTTTGCAACATATCTTAGGAAGTTATATTGTAAAACTAATTTGTTTTGTAACTCTAAATACTCTCTCCCATTAATTTGTTAGCATTAACACTGCATACCATTTTTAAAAAGTAACTTGTTGTTTTAAATTATTATTTCCTCTTAGTTTCACTATAACTTAAAACAAACCTTTAATAAGAGAGTGGTGTTAAAAAGATAAAATTCCATTCAAAATCCCTTTACAATGACCTTTCAAAGTAATTAGATAGTTACTACTGCATCCCAAGAATATATAGTTATGTCACTTTTGTGACCTACTTGTGTCACTTTTGAAATATGACTTCATTATTGTTTATTGTCACATATTACTTTAACTACTGTTTTTATAACTCAGACTCTGGTTCACAGGACCAATTCAGTTAGCTGTGTGTCATTGTAAAGCTTTGGTAAAATCATGATAATCTTTTGGAAATCCTTTGTTTGTAAACATGCAACTGTTTTGAGCCTTCTGTCCCATCCTGTGATGATCATTAATCCCTGTTTTCTCTTAGATGTTCGACTGGATCACACACAATAAAGGCCTGTTTTTGAACAGCTACACAGAGATTGGAGCAAGTCACCCTCATGCCATGGAGCTCCAGACACAGCACAATCATTTTGCTATGAACTGTATGGTAAGAATCTTTGGAACTTTTAACAGCTCTCAGTAATTGGCATATACTGCGTCCTTTACGGTGCAGAAACAGTATGCTGTTCTGAACCAGTATGCTGCTCCCCTCAATATATTACTCATAATAATAAAGTCTAGTCTAAGTAAGTAAGAGAAGAGAAAGGTAAGGGTTAGGGGGGCTATGTCCAGTATTGCTTGGTTTATGCTATGCCAGGCTTTCTAGTAGGATTCCCAAAATAGACTGTTACTGTTGCTGTTATTAATGTAGGGTCTCAGTATGCAGAGCCTTTGTAAACTACAAGAGAGCAGTTTCTTATTCAGATGGCAGAGTCTGGGAAAAGTTACTTTTTGGACTACATGTAGGTATGCTGGCTAAGGATACTGAGAATTAATCCCTTCAAAGTAACTTTTTCTGAGCTGTGCCACTACCAACGAGTTTATAATCTGTCCTTCAACACAAGGAGATAATAGAGGAAAGTGAGGTAAACTGGGAAGGAGTACGTGTCCCATATCTTTGCAGGCTTACTTACAGTAGTGTGTGGGGACTAGGGAATTGTGCCAAAGGCTAATGCATCAGTCTTGTGACCTCTATGCAGGCTAACATATCTGGACTGCTTCCAAGTTCATCAGGAGTTGGAGGCCTCATTCCTATGTATATCTTTGGCATTGGGGCCTTGAATTGCTGGGCAGAAACAAAATACAAATACAAACATCCCATAAATTGCTGAAACATTTTAGTTTACACTCAGAAACCTCTGCTCATACAGATGTCTTTACATATGACTGAGGGAAGTAAGAGCCACATATTTTTCTGTGCATAGTTTCTTCAAGCTTTTAAGGTATGCTGTTATCCTTTTTGGCATAACTTTTGGTTTCAGATTTGTAGTTCAGATGTGACCTGGTTCAAGCGAAATTTTGGACTTCCTAGTTTTACTTATTCTGTTCAGAGGCCTCTGAGGGCTGGCCTGCATCAAAAGGCACTAATTATTGAAGTTAATTAGCATCTTGGACAGTATAAGCAGAGGACAGGAATTGAATTAAAATGGAAACAAATACTGACTTGTTTGAAGAGATCATTCTAGGTGAGTGTTATGTGAAAGGAATACATTCAGCTTGTATTTCTGGCATTCCTTGCTTATGCATAAATCATGCAACCACTAAGAGTCTAGTTATCAGAGGCTAACTGGAACAATATAGTTTTACATGCCCAGGAATTTTGTAGCTAACAGATAGAAAGACAGGTATATTCATCAGTCTAGCAGGCCACACTAAGGTTTCTTAAACAGGAGACCTATATCTGATTTGGGCTGTTATTTAGACACTGAGACCTGCTGCCAAAGATGTAACTAGGTTGCATGAGAGCCAGTGTGGTTTAGCAGTGAAAGCATTAGAATTGGAAAGTTTGTGTTCAAGTCCCCAGAGCCATGCATACTGCTTTGAGTTACAAAGGATAGACAAGATATAAATGTAACTAATAATTCAAAGGTAATAAGGATTTCTTGAGAATCTAAGCCAGGGGTAGGCAACCTGTCCCTTTTAAGGGCCGAGGGACTTCAGCTCCCAGAAGCCTCAGCCATGTTGGCCAACAGTCCCATGTTGGCCAATAGCTCCTGGGATTCTGGGAGCTGAAGTCCCTCGGCCCTTAAAGGGGAAAGGTTGCCTACCCCTGATCTAAGCTTTTCAACAATAATGCTATAAGTAACTGATCTTTTCCATAAGGGAGGAGGAGATGCTGCTGCTGCTCCTGATCTAGGAGCAATTGCAAACAAACTGACAAAACATCTGAATAAAATCACTGTAGGTAGACTTGCAGTAACACAATTACAGTAATACGGTTTCAAAAAGTGGCACTGCTTTGAATGTGCCACATTATCCAACAATATGTCACTGACTTCTAGATTCTTGGATACAGTCCAAACCCTTGATGATCCAAATTTCCAGTCAGTTAACAT